GAATTTAAACAGGAATGGTTTTCACCTTGCAATACAAATGCATATGCACAGTTTGCACGCACGCAGGCGCGCGTGATTCAATCGTTTAACTTGTATACGAGGGGCAATGTCCTTGAATCAGATTAGGAAACCACCAATTACAGGCAAGAAGGTATTTCTTGAAACGTTTTCCCACAGTCGTCACAAGATAAACACATTCGCACTGTCGAGACGACCCGTACTTGGACACTTTACGAACCGCTAGCCCCGATGTATGGCCAAGTACCTGATGACGCCCGCTAAGCAATGGTTCCCAAAAGAAATAGATAGCAACGAACTAGCCCTGTGTACATGCAGATTAACATGAAATGGAGATGTACACTGATCTTATAATCAAGTATGTGTATCTCTCCATAGAGAACATACTATAAACTCCATTTCTGTTGGCCATAGCAAATTACCAACATTGTATTCGCGTTTTTGTTCTAGACAACAATTAACTATTTGTGAATTGCTTTTCATTTTCCTTCATACGTAAAGTTTTCGGGATATTACGATCGAGCATGAACAGCCATGTATATCTGCCCTAGTGTTGCCTGTCGGGTCGACATTATGGCCAGGAGGAAAGGATAGGAGAAATTTGGACCCCAAGGGGACGAACGATACGTGCTCGGACAGACAGACACGCACATAGCGGGCGGACATGTAATTAAACGGGCCGAGGGTCAGACAAACGTTAAATGTATGGTAGTGTAATTCTTGTTAGACTCCGCACAATGTCCTGTAAGAATACATATAGAGTTACACAAATGTATCTACTGTCGTTTACGCCATATATATTGTGTTGTCTTAAAGAGTCAACATAGCAATCACAAAAACAGAAAAACGCGATATTGTGTATTGTTGTTTGGACGACAATATCACGCATATTTAATATCAAGTGTGCGAATACCATGTCGGATAATGACCTGCACACGTCAACGACGTGTTTAACGCAATTTAATACGGAGATAATAGTAAATAATGTCTATCCAGTCTAGTACTTGTTATAATATACATATAGCTTTGTGTCTCCCGTTACCCTCAAACATAATGGTAAGGCATGGATAACTTTTAAGCCTTTTTTTATATTGAGCAGTTATATTTATCCAGGTCAACACACATCTTTCATAAGTTTGTATCATAGAAAAACTGTGATTTTTTTTTTCATTAAACACGATTGAAAAATTAGAATATCAAGAAAAAAGTGCCCCATTTTCGAGACAGCATTGTCACTATACAATTGTAGTGACATTAAAAAAAGAATATTAACCTCCTGTTTCTAAAAATAATATCACCGAGTAAGTATCACAAGGTACTACATGTAACCTCCACGTGATTATAGTTCAACCAATGAGGATGTAGGAAACATTCTGTATCTATTTTTTTGTCAAATTATCTAATATAGGCCTTTCTTAATGCAAAAGGATTTTCAAACCGGGTTAATACCCCCACACTTCAAAACATTCAAATATGCATGGATATTATATATTTAAGGGTTCGTCAATATTGTCATTGTACAGTACGCTTAACTGTCAATAATAGAAAGTGTTACCCTGATGATCTTTTTAGGCCCCGATGTATGACGTAACCTTGATGGTCACATGTAGTGGCACCTGTCAGGAATATCAAGTGCTACTCTGGTTTTACACGATATCTTTAAGAATTGAAGATCTTGTTAGGGAAAAAACGTGACATGGTTTTAGTTCGTATTTTTACAAACACATACATGTCAAAGTATTTTTCAGAAGTTCAGTATTTTCAACAAGAAATTTGATAAATATTGATACTGTATCTCAAAACATATTGTATTTTTTTATTGTCCTTTCTATAAAAAGAACAAGGATTAAAGTCACTCGTAACATTCCTATGTCAAGTGTAAAAGGATTTTTGCTACCTTGTAATCCTTCCACACACTAGGGATTTTGTGCTTCTTATACACGAGCCGTATACGTGCAAATGCTGACACGTATTCTCGGAAAAGCAACAACTGACAACCGACCCTGAAAATGTCTAATGGTTCAGAAAGTTGAAAATCATAAGACTGAACAAACGTCCACTCATTCATGGCGTCAAACGTAAGATTCAGCAGTCTGAGACACCTGAACTCCCATTAGAATCAAAGTATCCTTCAGTTCTTACCAATAGTTGTCACAAAGTGATGGCTTTATTGTGAAACATGATGTCATCATATGTACGATTCAACAATGATCAGACAGCCCAAACATTTACTTCTGCTGTGTCAGTATATCCGAAAATATTTTGCGGCATTTCCTGGAATTAAATATGGATGACGGCCTAAGTATAGTTGTCAAATGTCGGTGTTCGGTATCCCATTTTTGGCGTAACATCATGGCTGCTCTTTGGATCAAGGCGTCGTGCTGCCTCTTAATACCTTAAAGATATTACAATATCAGAAATGCGACCTACCGGCAAAACTTTTACGATAGTTGTATATGTGAACCTGCCCAATAGCCGCCATAGTCAAACTTGGGTAAACCGATTATATTCAGCATATGTATCGGACATTTATAGTTTTCTATTATAGGAAACCTTCCCGTCTGGTCTAAAAATGGAACTAACAAAAATGCTTGAAGAGTTCCGGAACATTTGTTGAAATACAGCAAAAAGGAAAAGTTGCATGAAAAAATAGACTTTTTATGTTACAAATGTTGTCTACTGCAGATACGTTTCTTAACCTAGTATTTCATGTACACATAATACATTTCAGCAATAAGGGTTTAGCTGTAAAAACATTCTTTACATGAAACTAAATTGTCTGAGCCTAAACTTTGTACACTGTAACACTTCGTATGCGTAAAACATTGACTTTTTTCATTGACGTTTTACAATGATAACTTGGTTTTATTACGATTAGATTATTGTTTCACAGTTCTTATTATAAACATACTTCAGCATTGCATAATACGGTTTTTATGTGTTTCTAGAAAATCTGTTTTCATGTTTCACTCCAAGATGATGAAACAGAAATAGGGCTACAAACTGTTGAAACTTAGTAGGTCTGACATTTAGATTCCTCTGTCTATCTGTATCAGGTCCGCCCCTTAGACAGCTAGTGATGGGTAATAGGGAACAGTGGAGGTGGTGATATCTTTGTTTTACACTCCACAATCAATATAGGGGAAATCACCGAGAGATACGAAAGGAAAGTCGGGTTATGGAAGTCGGGTCGCCAGGGGATAACAAAACATCCATGTTTTATGAAGAGAAGTTGGGGGCTATATGTTGTAAGATAAAGACGCCCGAGTTAATTGGTACCTGATCGGTAGTGAGCGGCTCCTCCGTGCAATCGCCGGTCACTTTTATTTTATTACTTCCCTAGTATCTTTAAACGAAACATGTGAACCTAAGCCGTTATCGATTTGTTTCACAATCTGTTAATTCAAACCAAGCATTCCATTTATAATATTCAAATCTCATAAATAGCAATCCGTCTGTATCTTAAACTGATTCGCGAGTGTCACCATCACAAATTTTAAAGGTGCACGTGACCTTTGCCATACAACTAGAGCCCACGATACATACCGGTATTTGTCCAGATCGATATCCTTCATCCAATATACGTTAAACACAAAACCAGGCTGGGAATACCACGGTCTTACGCTCATCTGATGAGGGTTGACTCCTAAATTATTTATCGTCTTTGCACATAAATATTTATGTAACATAAACTGATCTACAGGCCACAATGTTATTTATTTATACAAAACTGTGTTGTTATTTTACAAGGCCATTTGACATCAATGTGTTTAATGCAAGTATGGAAGTATGGAAGTGTAGTGCTAATAGTCGTTGCTAAGGTATATATGCGTAGTGCTATATGCATAGGTCACAGAATTTGTGATTAATATGTTGTGCTTAAATAAGAGAAATCACTAACCCAGTGTGTGTAAGGAACATCATTAAGGACCAATTAAGCTGTCCTTGACGAGATGATATTCTTTATAACAACTTCATAACCGATAAAGTATAGTAACCTTCTCAAAAATATTTTAGCACCGGGCGCTCAGCTAAGAGTCCTGGGATGCATTTTTCAGTCATACTAGTATAGATCTAGAGATGTTAAACGTCAACGGATTACTTTTATGTGTGCATTGCCAAATTATGAAGACTTAATATATCAAATATGTATTTACATGTATACACTCCTTAATGTCGGTATATCTATTCCGTCTTTTCGTATTGCAGAGTTATCTTCTCTTGGGAGCAGGTATTGATTGTTACGTCATTGGTTTGTGTGAGAAAATTACGTCGTTTTCTCAAAAATTGATGACGTTACTCTCTTAAACAAGTGACGTAACAATCAATACCTGCTCCCAAGAGAAGATAACTCTGCAATACGAAAAGACGGAATACGATATGTTGAATTCAACATTTCTGGATGAAAGGAAACACTGCCTTTCAGAATAGGATGGAAACGAGCTGTGGGCGTAGCGCCGAGTATGTATGGCCTGTGGAATAGCCCGGGGGAAAGTGTCATTTAAGAAACTTATTGAAATAAACATGCTTTTAAATTCAAAATGAAACAAAAGAATGTCATGATATTTATATATAGCTAACGATGAGGATCGAATCGCTATCAAATAAATAAAATTTGATTATGTTCAGGCTGCTCATAAGTGGCTAATGTAGGTATTTGACGTTTTCCGTGTGTTACAAGCATTTATAAGACCATGATCTGTCTTCATTCTTGATTATCTCGTTACTGCCGAGAGGTGGTTGGGTACTGGCATTAAGGTCTTATTTTAACCATTGATGTTTCTGTAAATATACAATATGAGTTAGTACTACTATCAATGTAATGAAAGGGACTTCATTAAGACGTGTGATCCCTGTCATTGACAAGGTGAGGTTCGCCTTGTCAGGGCGAGAACCGATAACGTCCTAGGACCATGATAGGGTTGATCAGGTTAACAGTGAGGTTAATAGTGTTTGATCTCTGTCTGATTCTATCGTTACAGATCTGCAGCAGTCACGACTGTGTACGCCTGGCGGGATCTATTCTCTCTCACATGGACACGGACGTGGACCCGTGCGAGGTAACAGTTTTAGCCCCTTCACCCGGTCAGAAACTCTAAAGTAAATGATATGGCCAGTCGACCTAGCGCCGGTGTCTCAACAATGCAGCACTTTGGGTCAGTGCGGGGCTTCTAAATAAATTGGTTTTCTCACAAGACGTGTCAGCATTTCAAAGCAAATGCACACTTGCATACCAAGGAATCTTCTAATTTATTTATTCATGTATTTATTATTGATTAAGCACAAAAGGCTCCTGACATTTCAATTAACAAATAATGCCATGGGCGTAGCCATCTATATATATTAGCGCATGCTGAAGTAGGGCTTATTTTGCTATGTACGGTTGACCATATACCATTCCTTTTCATCCCTTGCACACTAACTCAAAGACCGTTAGAAACTGGTCATCATCCATTTCCCCGTAACCCAATATTGGTGTGACGGTGCTGAATAGAAACACACAAGCATTCCAAGCTCATGAAAAGATTGTCTCCACCTTTCGTCCATCCAATCGATACAAATACCAAACAATTGTGTGTTTAGTGCCAAATGTATCGCATCAATTTGTGTGAAGAGGTAATTTTTTCCCGGTTTCATTAATCAATGAAAAGCAGAAAGCGGAAAAAGATATCATTTGAAAGGCATTTTTTACGCCCCCGTGTTAACTGCACGACGGAGATAGCTAAAGCTAGTGCTCAGTGGTATGGGGATAATCTTTAGTAAGGAGCTTACCTGTGAAAAAAGTGAAACCTGTTTGACAGCGTACTGTAAAAGTGGTAATTTTCGCGGTGTGGAAATGCTTGCGGTTTTGGCGTCGGGCAAATTAGCGCAAAAATATCCAGACGGGGATATTTATTTATAAATAACGGATATATAGAATGTATAGCTTTCAGAAACGTTGCCAACGCTAAACAAACAAATCCTCACCGCTATCTGTTTAAATAGTCACAACGCGAATAGTTCCACTCGCAAAAAATTCCACTTTTACTGTCAATGATAGAAAAATATTATACTTTTTTTTTTGTCATGAAATTGATCAAACCACTTTTGCTTGTACAAACAACTTATATATTCTACAATGCTTGATGTTTCAAACAACACTTAATCAACATCTTTGAAATAACGGAACGAAAACAACAATCACTTTCATCAAAACTATTTAATAATTTTAGAAACAGAACTCGACACCTTCACTGCCTTTTCTTTCAGGACTTTTATGAGTATTCATGTGGAGGATTTAAAAAAATGGCGTATCTTACCTGGGAAGCACCACGTGTCCGCGAGAATCCCGATATACTTCTAACAAAATACGAAGATTTCTTGAAAGGTTAGTAAATCATTTATGAGCTCTCCAATCAATGTCATATAAATCTTTCATTTACTGGAGAAATAAGTTTTTCGCAGCCAATCATATCTTTTTTTCGAGGATTAAAGACAAAATTTAGATAAAAAAAAATTGATACAGAACATACATATTTTAATATAACCACTGATTTTCGTTCCCGTAGCTTTTTTTGAAATGGACTATAACCTATATATCGAACAGGTGGGTACCAATACAAGAGATGATTTGTTGAAATTAGCAGAAAATAATAGTATATGTATGATTGTTCCAGAACAACTCAAGCTTTTAGACCTGTTTGGAAAAGATGCATTAAAACAACACGTGAAACCTTTTTTATATAAATTGTTTATAAACAATAGTTGGTGCTTTATTTCAAAGTTTAATCAAATACTAAAACATCAACACTCTGACCTTTCAGAGAATATTTTATTTCCAGACAAACTTTTAGACTGGTTCTCAGTCCCCTATATGTAAGAGGGTTGTGATCTTGCGCCAAAAACTCCATCAATCCGAATAGTTCTAGACAGACATTAATTGGTATTAAAATCAAACAGAATAGAACTGGGTGTCGAAATGTTAACAGAAGCCCCACGTTTTAATTATGTATCTGTACATATGGAGCTATTATTGTGATCTGTTCCAAAACAAAGTCCCGGGAAAACTGGCAAGGTTTTCAATTGTAGGGGGTATTGTGTAAGGTTTATTCCAGTCTAGACGGTGTTAGTTAATACAAACGGCACCATCAACTCTCCGCCAGACAATATCAACATCCTTCTCCTCAACGCGTAATGAGCACGCCATCACTGGGACAGGCCGTCTATCTGTTCCCGCTACCGACTGAATTACGTGCCCTTTCAATCTACAGGGGTGGGAAACGACATACTTCTACAATCTACAAGGGCGGAGAACGACAGACTTCTACAATCTACAGGGGCGGGGAACAACAGATTTCTACAATCTACAGGGGCGGGAAACGACATACTTACTATAATCTACGAGGGCGGGGAACGAAATACTTACTACAATCTACAGGGGCGGAGAACGACATACTTACTACAATCTACAAGGACGGCGAACGACAGACTTCTACAATCTACAAGGGCGGGGAACGACAGACTTCTACAATCTACAAGGGCGGGGAACGACATACTTCTACAATCTACAAGGGCGGGGATTGACAGACTTCTACAATCTACAAGGGCCGGAAACGACAGATTTCTACAATCTACAAGGGGCGGGGAACGAGAGACCTCGACAATCTACAAGGGCGGGAAACGACAGACTTCTACAATATACAAGGGGCGGGGAACGACATACTTCTACAATCTACAAGGGGCGGGGATTGACAGACTTCTACAATCTACAAGGGCCGGGAACGACATACTTCTACAATCTACAGGGGCGGGGAAGGACAGACTTCTACAATCTACAAGGGCGGGGAACGACAGACTTCTACAATCTACAAGGGCGGGGAACGACATACTTCTACAACATACAGGGGCGAGGAACGACATACTTCTACAACATACAAGGGCGGGGAACGACAGACTTCTACAATATACAGGGGCGGGGAACGACATACTTCTACAATCTACAAGGGCGGGGAACGACAGACCTCTACAATCTACAGGGGCGGGTAACGACAGACTTCTACAATCTACAAGGGCGAGGAACGGCATACTTCTACAACCTACAAGGACGGGGAACGACATACTTTTACAATCTATAAGGGCGAGGAACGACAGACTTCTACAACCTACAACGGTGGGGAACGACAGACTTCTACAATCTATAGGGGCGGGGAACGACATACTTCTACAACCTACAAGGGCGGGGAACGACATACTTCTACAACCTACAAGGGCGAGGAACGACAGATTTCTACAATCTACAAGGGCGGGAAACGACAGACTTCTACAATCTATAGGGGCGGGGAACGACAGACTTCTACAACCTACAAGGGCGGGGGACGACATACTTCTACAATCCACAAGGGCGAGGAACGACAGATTTCTACAATCTTCAAGGGCGGGAAACGACAGACTTCTACAATCTACAGGGGCGAGGAACGACATACTTCTACAACCTACAAGGGCGGGGAACGACATACTTTTACAATCTACAAGGGCGAGGAACGACAGACTTCTACAATCTACAAGGGTGGGGAACGACAGACTTCTACAATCTATAGGGGCGGGGAACGACATACTTCTACAACCTACAAGGGCGGGGAACGACATACTTCTACAACCTACAAGGCCGAGGAACGACAGATTTCTACAATCTACAAGGTCGGGAAACGACAGACTTTTACAATATAAAGGGGCGGGGAACGACATACTTCTACAATCTACAAGGGCGAGGAACGACAGACTTCTACAATCTACAAGGGCGGGGAACGACAGACTTCTACAATCTACAAGGGGCGGGGAACGACATACTTCTTATATCTAAAAGGGCGGGGAACGACATACTTCTTCAATCTACAAGGGCGAGGAACGACAGACTTCTACAATCTACAGGGGCCGAAAACGACAAACTTCTACAATCTACAGGGGCGGGGAACGACATACTTCTACAATCTACAAGGGCGAGGAACGACAGACTTCTACAATCTACAAGGGCGGGGAACGACAGACTTCTACAATCTACAAGGGGCGGGGAACGACATACTTCTTATATCTAAAAGGGCGGGGAACGACATACTTCTTCAATCTACAAGGGCGAGGAACGACAGACTTCTACAATCTACAGGGGCCGAAAACGACAAACTTCTACAATCTACAGGGGCGGGGAACGACATACTTCTACAATCTACAAGGGCGAGGAACGACAGACTTCTACAATCTACAAGGGCGGGGAACGACAGACTTCTACAATCTACAAGGGGCGGGGAACGACATACTTCTTATATCTAAAAGGGCGGGGAACGACATACTTCTTCAATCTACAAGGGCGAGGAACGACAGACTTCTACAATCTACAGGGGCCGAAAACGACAAACTTCTACAATCTACAGGGGCGGGGAACGACATACTTCTACAATCTACAAGGGCGAGGAACGACATACTTCTACAATCTACAAGGGCGGGGAACGACAGACTTCTACAATCTACAGGGGTGAGGAACGACAGACTTCTACAATCTACAGGGGCGGAGAACGACAGACTTCTACAATCTACAGGGGCGGGGAACGACATACTTCTACAACCTACAAGGGCGAGGAACGACAGACTTCTACAATCTACAAGGACGGGGAACGACAGACTTCTACAATCTACAAGGGCAGGGAACGACAGATTTTTACAATCTACAGGGGCGGGGAACGACAGACTTCTACAATCTACAGGGGCGGAGAACGACAAACTTCTACAATCTTCAAGGGCGGGAAACGACAGACTTCTACAACCTACAAGGGCGGGGAACGACATACTTACTACAATCTACAAGGGCGAGGATAGACAGACTTCTACAATCTACAGGGGCGGAGAACGACAGACTTCTACAATCTACAGGGGCGGGGAACGACATACTTCTACAACCTACAAGGGCGAGGACCGACAGACTTCTTCAATCTACAAGGGCGGGGAACGACAGACTTCTACAATCTACGAGGGCGGGGAACGACATACTTTTACAATCTACAAGGGTGGGGATTGACAGACTTCTACAATTTACAGGGGCGGAAAACGACAGACTTCTACAATCTACAGGGGCGGAGAAAGACAAACTTCTACAATCTACAGGGACGGGAAACGACATACTTCTACAACCTACAAGGGCGAGGAACGACAGATTTCTACAATCTACAAGGGCGGGAAACGACAGACCTTTACAATATAAAAGGGCGGGGAACGACATACTTCTACAATCTAAAAGGGCGGGGTACGACATACTTCTACGATCTACAAGGGCGAGGAACGACAGACTTCTACAATCTACAAGGGCGGGGAACGACAGACTTCTACAATCTACAAGGGCGGGGAACGACATACTTTTACAATCTACAAGGGTGGGGATCGACAGACTTCTACAATTTACAGGGGCGGAAAACGACAGACTTCTACAATCTACAGGGGCGGAGGAAGACATACTTCTACAATCTACAAGGGCAGGGAACGACATACTTCTACAATATACAAGGGCGGGGAACGACAGACTTCTTCAATCTACAGGGTTGAGGAACGACAGACTTCTACAATCTACAAGGGCGGGAAACCACAGACTTCTACAATCTACAAGGGCAGGGAACGACATACTTCTACAATCTACAAGGTCGAGAAACGACAGACTTCTACAATCTACAGGGGCGGGAAACGACAGACTTCTACAATCTACAAGGGGCGGGGAACGACATACTTCTACAATATACAAGGGCGGGGAACGACAGACTTCTACAATCTACAAGGGCGGGGAACGACAGACTTCTACAATCTACTAGGGCGGGGAACGACAGACTTCTACAATCTACAGGGGCGGAAAACGACAGACTTCTACAATCTACAAGGGCGGGGAACGACAGACTTCTACAATCTATTTGGGACGGGAACCACAAATTATCGCAGTCACCTGAAATTTGATCACAGACCGTCAGAGATGAAGGGACGGTTACTCCAACAACACATTAGGACTAGGTACCACTAGTACTAATCGGACTTCAGACCCTGAAATGCAAATTCCTCCTTGGTATTTTCATACTTGACCTTTGTAAGACCTTTGATAAAAATACATTTAGAAATGAAGTCGGTTGATTCGTGCTCAGAAATCGCAACGCGACGGGACGGGACGGGCAGGGACGAACATGGGTACAGTGTAATGCAATACATGTAAATATGCCCCCTACCTTCCCAGTAATGCTACGTTTACATTATGTTCCCGGCAGCCACGGCAGTCCCGTTTGCCTGAAACGTAATGCGCCGTGGGATTTTGGCCTTTTTTGTTGAATTCAAGTCTTGGCAAGTTTTCCCATGGTCTGTCACGGT